GCATATGGTGCAGCAGAGTGCATTTCTGGATTAAATAAATGGAGGTGGTCAAGGGAATTGGAAGAAGCTGATCCTCAGTGGCCGCGGAAAGCCACACAGACAGGAGAGAACTTCTGAGCTGGACTGCTCGAAGCCCAGCTGTCTTTGGCAGATTCTCCCAGGAGTCCTTCCACACTGAGCTCTCCAGTCTTGCTTCTTGCATCTAGCAAAGAAAAGGGTAGGCATTCTGGAGAGAGCTCCCCCTGGAACATTTAAGTTGGAGGTAGACGTGGGCAGAGGAAGGAGGAATGAGATTAATTCACTGGGTTGTGAAGAAGCCATTCTGTGAGCCCCTCACAGTGGCCCTGGGAGCTCAATAAGTGTTTTGTACCTCCTGTAAATGTCCCATTGTATGAAGAAGGAAACAAATGTAAAACTTTTACACAGAAGAATGTCACTTTGGCTAGACAACTTCTCAGGTTGTTTTTGATGTTGTTGTGTTTTTTTGTTTTTGTTTTGGTGGAACCAGGGATTGAACTCAGACCTTTGCATTTGCCAGGGAAGCACTTATTCCACTGAGCCATCTCTCTGGTCCAACTTCACAGGTTCTTACTGCACATTAAATTATGACTTATGGAACGTTACAATATATTCTTGATAGGAGAATGTTCTTTGTTTTATGTAAATCAAAACAAACTAAAGAAGAGATTTAGTGTGGAGATAGTGGTTCTTTTTATAGTACTTTTATAATATATCATTCCCATAATGCAGTTTTGTTCATTTAGAAGCTTAGATTTAGAAAAGAATGTATGTGCTTGTATTTGATCAGAAAAGTTCTTGAACAGCATATAGCAGAATATGGGCAGTTTTAGGGCCGGCCAAATAGCTCAGCGAATTAAAGCGCCTGCAAGCAGGTGTAGGGGCCAGGGGTTCAATCCCCTGGCCAGCCATGCCGGCCCCGCCCCAGGGCACACTGAGATGGCAATTGAGACTGAGCATGGTCGCACACGCCTGTAATCCCAGCTCTTGGAAGGCTGTAAACAGGCAGATCACTACGAATCTGACTTAGTAGTGAGACCCTGAACACCCTGTAGCCCCTTCCCTAAAATAAGAAAAAAAAAATTAAAAAATAATATAGCCAGTTTTGCTCTTGGAGAGAAGGGAATTTTTTTTTTTTTTTTCATTTTATACATGGCTTGGCCTCCCATGTATTTTTATTTTAGAAAGATTATGATTTGATTTACTCTGCACAGTTTTTTTCAGGTCCACAATTTTTTTAGTGGGAAGGGGCAGATTTAGGTGTATAATTAGGCAGAGTATTTGCGTGCTCAACCACAGAAAATGACCTCACCCGGAATGATGCTGTTTACAGCAAAGCTCTCCTGCGCGTCTGAGTCTTCTCTTCCAGAGAGCCCTCTCTTGTCTTTCCAGAATGTTTTCCCAGACCAACTTGGAGATAAACCACAGCTTGCTCTGGCAGTCACCTTTTTTGAGTGCTGGGGAATACTTGTACCTTTTGACACTGGTAGCTAAGCCAGTCCGGCCTGGCCAGTATCAGGGTGACATTCCTTCCACAGACCTCATAGCAGTGCACACGGCAGAAGACTATTATCTCTTCAGTTACTGCACTCAGTGGGGTGACTGATGAGATCTAAATGTGTCCCATCAGCCCTGCAGATGTCTGGCGCATGGATCGTGCCTCCGCTGTTTTGGCAAGTACATCAGAGAAGGAAAAGGGTCAAGCTTCCTATATCTTGTAGGAGTGAGGCAGCCAGGGAGCCCCTGGGAATAAGGGCAGGTACACTCCTCGCCTTAACCTGGGACCTGCTACCCATTTAAAGTGTGGCATCTGTTCTTCCCTTTATGCCCCACCAGTTCTCTTAGTCTTACCACCATCAAAATCCAGGTCCATCGCTAAGGCCAGGAAGTGCTTGCCATATCCTCTCCAAGAATAAACTGGGTAAGAAAATAAAACGGTGGGGGAGGGAGGGCACACACAAGCCTGCAGCCTGTTACTCATTAAAAGCTTGATTTGTACTTTCTTCTGAAATAGTCAGGACTTAGAAGCCCCTTTTGAGGCCAGGGATATAGGGCAGCAGCATAAGCACCTACCTGGCAAACACAAGGTCCTGAGTTCAATCCCTCGTACTGCAAAAAAAAAAAAAAAAAAAAGCTGCTTTTGCTAAAAACTGACTTTGCTTAGGCTTGTAGATGCCCAGTGGGTAGCTGAACACAAGATAAAGCTTGGCATCTTGGCATCTTTGTTTTCATTTTGTATCTGTCTTGTATGTTTTGGGTCAGATCCCTGCTCAGCCCTGCATAAGGCATGTTAAGTCACGAGGGAGCCAGTCTGTCTCAAACTGGTAATACAAGGCTGATTAGCCCTACATTTGCATAACCTGCCCCATCACCCTTCAAGACTAAGAGCATCAAGATAAGAGATTTACAGGGACATTCAGCTGCCAGTGGGCGCCAAGGAGTCTCTAGTCATTGCCCTAAACCTGCAGGTGCCTTGGACTCCAGCAGAGCCCCTGAAAAACTGAGGCATCTCCAAGCAGAAGCGGTCATCTCCCACAGACCAGGTTGCCTCCTCAAGTGAGGAAGATTTCTTCAGTCCCACAGCGCAAAACCAGAGCTGAGATAATGATCAACCCAATGGAGCCACCTCGGCAACAGCTTAAAAACTGACCTCCTTTGTTAACGCACTTCTCACTGGTCCATCCCACGGTGCTTTTCTGAGATGAGATGTCAAGGTCCTCTCCCACGCTAAGTTCAGGTCCTCTTTAGACAAGGACCTCCTTGGCTTCCATCTGGTGGCAGAAGCGCAATGGCCCTGTGTCCCTTAAGGGTGCGATACCTGCATGCAGGGAGAATCCAGGACAGGGAAAGGTGTGGGGTGCAGGGCACAGCTGCCCCCTGGGAGACAGAGTCACAGCTGGTGGGTTATTGCTCTGCTACAAGGAGAGGGTGACTGGTACTTACAGGGCCTGGGTGAAGAGGGCCAGATGGGGCCTGACATTGCTTTGAATTTCCAACAAGAGCAGTGCAGCCTCTCAGCTCTGAGCCCTTGACTGAGGTGTCTTTGTCTCTCCAGGAATTCACGTGGGCCAGCAGGAGATAAGATCAGTGAGCACCAGTGTGGCTGCCTAAGAACTTTAGATATACTAGTTCTTTTATTGCCCAGATTATAAACATAGTCATACCCCCTGCATAATGATGGTTGTCCTGATTGCTTAGAAACAATACTTTTCATAAATTTGTCCCACTTTTTATTTATTTTTGTTGTTGTTGTTGCTTTGTTTTTGCAGTACTGGGGTTTGAACTCATGACCTTGTGCTTGCCAGGCAATTGCTTATTCTATTGAGCTATCTCCCCAGCTCCCTACTTTTTAAATCTCACTCATTCCCTTGCATTTTAGAAACCTCGCTGAGTGGTATCATCCTTCACTTGTAGGCCCACTTAGGATTTTCAAAGTATTTCATACGTAATCATCCCATTTTATCTACAGGGGCTTGGCTCTGAGATCTCCTTCGGACATTAAAATCCAATGGACTGCTGCCCCCTCTATCAAAGGGTGGAGTCTTTGAATAGAACCCATGCACATTTTCTCATATTTTAAATAATCTGTAGATTACTTACAATCCCTAATACAGTGTAAACTCTGTGCAGATTGTCATTGTGCCATGGTATTTAGGGAATAATAAAGAACCTGTACAAGTTCAGTACAAGCAATTTCTTTTTCCAAGGGTTTTCAGGTCTCCTTCAGCCCATAGATACAGAAGCTGCAGATTCAGAAGTGGTAGATAGGGGGCAGCACTGCCTTCATTCTGAGCCTTGTGGAATAAACCTGGCTTCCTTCCATCATTTGTTAAGGTGTCTGAGGCTTAGAAAGACTGAATGACAAGGGGCAGACTGCCTGCTCTGCCCACTCTGAGTTTAAGTGCAGCTCACTTTGTCCTCATCTCTGCACCCCCAGAGGATGGAGGGGGAGACCTCACCCACAAGTATGCCTAAGAAGGGGTCCCTGGTCTCTTTTGATACCAAAGACAAGCTGACCTCAGGCAACGATGTATTCTGTCTCTGGTCACCTGCTGGCATCCACAGCCTCGAGACATTGGTAGCTTCCTTAAAACTAAGAAATTCCTCTCAGATGAACAGCTAGACTGGCTAGTCCATCCATGCTGTGGAGCCTCATAGCATGTTGGAAGCATCATAGCAGAGATTGTAGCTACTCTAGGAACTGAGCTGGAGACCTCTCTGGGGCCCATTAAGTAAAAGAGCAAGACGTGGAGCAGCGTATGTGGTGTCCTTGCTTTCAATGGGAATAAGTAGAAAAGGGGAGATGCAATGCAGATTTGAATATACCTTTAGCTACAAAAAAAAAAAAGACCAAGGGCCTGGAGAGATAGCTCAGTAGAATAAGTGCTTGCTGGCAAGCACAGGGTCCTGAGTTCAATCCCTGGTACCACAAAAGAAAAAGAAAGAAAGAAAAAAAGACTTGACTCCAAACATGGTGGAGCCCTCCTATAACCCTAGCCCTGAGGAGGCTGCAACAGGATTGCTATGAGTTTGAGACTAACCTGGTTTACATCATTTTGAGACCTTGTCTCAAAAAAACCCCAAACCTTTCTATAGCTCATTCCTTTGTATTGCTAAGCAGAGCTTCCGGCGGCACCTCTCATTCACTGAAGGACACAAGGCTCATCCAAGTATTTGGCCATGACAGATAAAGCTGCCAGGAACACTCACATAGATGCTTTCTTATGAACATAGGTTTTCATTTCTTTAGGATAAAGTGCTCAGGTGTACAGCTGCAGGATCACATGTTTTATTTTTTTAAGAAACTTCTCCAAGTGGCATTTTGATCTGTCAAGCATGTTAAAAACAAAACAACCACCCAAAATAAATTGAGACTATTAAAGTTCAATCTGACCTGGTTCTTAAAGTAATGTCAGTGGAATCCTTGGGCTTGGCCTGCTTGAGTGGTATCAGTGTTAAAACCCGAATCTTTCTTCCTCTAGGTGTGGTACAGATAGTGGAGGTGATTTTGAATGGGATAGTCCTCATGTGTGTCGTGGCCTCCTACTTTGTCCTTGCCGGATTCAGCGCCAGCTTTGCGAGTGGCAGCGGCTTTGGGAACAACTATTATTCACCATTTGAGGGCAGCGAGCTGGAGGAAGTTCGGCGGCTGGACCAGCAGTACACTATCCTCCGGTCACCCCTGATATACAGCGGTGTGGCTGTTTCCTTGGGGCTGGGTGTCCTCACCATGGGCATTCTACTCCAAGGAGCCAAGAGTCTAACAAAACTGCCTGGGAAATGGCTCCTCTTGGAGGCCACCTTTAGTGTCCTTGCGGCAGTAGGCTACTGCATAGGCATTGGCCTTTACCTCCATGTAGCTTTGCAGATCAATTCCACAGACACTTGCAAAAAAAGAGAGAGGATGTACGCCCGCAGAGGTCTCACCTGGATGAACTGCCAGCTGGCAGGCACTGATGGAGCAGCAGCCACCTTTGCTTGTCTTTTGGTCATTATGTACGGGGTCAGCGTGGTCCTGGCCCTGCAGAGCTACAGAAAACAGAAGCTGTACAAAGACAGCCAAGAACAGCACAGAAATTACATTGATGCCCCAGAATACCTGTGGTCTGGGACACTCTAAGGAGACCTTCTGGACCCCAAATATCAACTTTCCCCTTTCTCTCAAAAAGGCAGGTCCCTTAAAAAAACCAGTTAGCAGTGGTTTTCACATCCTTGATTTTGGAGGTGCTGCCTTTAGGACCAATGCAAAGTTAAGTAATTGTCTTATTTTTCCATTGTAAAAGAGATACCTGATTGCTGACCAACTCAATGTAGCTTAATGAAAGTGTGGAGAGCAGCATCAGAACTGAGGGCACCCTCACCTGAAATAGCTCACTAGCCAGGGTAATTCTGAAAGGTAAGTAAGAACTGCCCCTTAAAGGGTAGAAGTCCCAGAGTTCCAGTAGAAATCACGCCTGTCCTGTCTGAAGTCAGCGAAGAAACATGCCAACGCCCCCTCTTCCTGGCGTGGTCCCACAGAATTATTTCCAAGTAGTTATTCTCACTCCCTCCTAAAGGGAAGCCCTCTGGTATTAGAGAGGCTACCAAAGTGCACTCCCAGTTGGAATCCTGACCTAGAGAAAGAATGCCCTTAGCAGACATAGTCTTCCTCAGGACTCTTCCCCTGATATAATGTCAGGGCCCAGATGTAATGTCTCCTGCCAACTTTTTCCTGTTGGTGTTTTTCTGGCAAATCATTCCATTGGAATTCATTTTTTTGAAATGTTTCATAAGCTTTTTTAAGCTTAAGGTTCCCAAATACTGAGAAAAGTTGTAAAATTAAATGTGTCATAGTTCAACTGATTTCAAAGATAAGGCAGATTACAGGGTCTGATTGGAGGCCTTTCATTCTCTGATTCCCTCTCAGGGCCCACAGAGCAGGCCGTCAGCATAGCTAGTTACTTCATGAGTTAATCTCTAGCATTGAACCTTAAAAATTAATTTCTCAGTAATTTAATTATTACTTTACTATTTTAGTCTTAAATTATACCTGTGCTTGTTCTTTACAATTAGTCTCGGTTTATGTCAGATCCAGCTAGACATTTATATTCATATAAAGAGGTCTTTTTCTAAGTGTTGTCTCGCTTTTTAATAGCTAATCCTCATGGAACCTGTCCAAGATGAAGGGTCAAAAATAAACCTCATAAAAATAAATAATAAAAGCAAAGCTTGGAGGAAGATATGCACCTAGGAATCTGTACTGCTTAACTGAAATAAAATCGGTTGTGCTGTGCAAAGGTTGGGCACTGTCCCCCTTCACCCGGAGCAGTGGCTAGTCCCCACGTTTCACTGAATGAGAGCAAAGCTCCGCAGCAGCAAAACCTGAATAGCTGCTCTTCAGAGACAGATAGCCATGCACACGCTGCCCTCCCCTGGACTGTACTCAACATGGCCCTGTTAAGTGTTTTTCCCACGTTGGGTTTTGTGCTGGATATAGAAGGGCACTGTGGACTGTGTGATCTCAGCCTTGTGTCCTGGCCCAGCTAGGACCCTGGCGCCAGGAGGCAGCCTCACCTCACTGACTGGACCCCGTCAGCTGTTAATGACTCCCACATCAGGGCTTTCATACTGTTCAAAATGATTTAGTAAACCTGATTTTACTTACTACCACTTGCCAGGTAGGCAGGCCAGCATGTATTCACGTGTTACAGAGAGCAGAGGAGGTCAAGAATGGTAGGATAAGTGGTTTAGTTGATAGTTAAAGTTTCATGGAATGCTCACCATGTGCCAAGTACATTGCTGTGCTAGAAAAGCATTCTGTCTGCATTATTTGTGGAAACTTGTAGCTGATGATGGATACTATTATTTCCACTCAAGTGAAAAATACTGGGCCAGGGGAAATAGCTCAATGGCAGAGTACTTGGATAGCATGGTGAGGCCCTAAGTTTGGTGCTCAGCACCATGTAAGGGGCTGAGTGTTGTGGTGCACACCTGTAATCTCAGAATTTGGAGAGGCTGAGGATCATGAGTTCTAGACCAGTCTGGACTGCATAGACACCCTGTCTCAAAACAAAAAACCTTAGAAGGAATGTAACTTGTCAAAAGCTGTTAAGTAGCAGAGATAAAAACTCAAGATACAGTGAATCACATACTGGAATGTTTAATGCATGACCAGTTCACATTTATGGCCTTTACTGTGTCAGGAAATAGTGCGCAAAGTGGAGTACATGCTCAGAGAATCACGTTGGTGCCACCATGGACTGGGAAGATGTGTATCTAATGGAACTGAGGTATCAAAGGAGGTGGTGGTGTATACCCAGGGTGCTCAGTAAAGTTGTTGAGTGTGATGGTGCATACCTGTAATCCCAGAACTCATGAGGCAGAGGCAAGAGGATTCCAAGTTTGATGCCAGCCGGGGCCCCATAGTAAGTTAAAGGTCCCCCTGAACTAGAGATGCTGCATCGAAACATTGCCGAGCAATGGAATTTATGTTGTCTGCTGGCTTTTTCTATTAATTATATTCCTCGTTTGGAGTTGGTACATATAACACATCTTTTCCTCTCCCTTATCTCTTGGTCCCTTCCCTTTTGCAAAAGATCTCTCCCTCTTTTCCTGTTATCTGGTTTTTATTTTGCCCTTTACGTTTTGGGTTTCTCCTCTACGAGAAATCGTGCAATGCTCAAGCTTGTGTTTGTTTTTATTTCACTTAACATTATGGTCTCTAGGTACCTAAACATGACTCAAATTTATCCTTAATTTCTTTTTCTTTTTTTTTGCTCCAAATGCCTTCAGGGCAGGTTTGGCTGGCTTGAGTTGTGGGGATCGAACCACAGCTTTGTTGAAGCAGCCTATCCTTAATTTCAATTGTGTGCAACTACCACATTTTATCCATTTACCTATTTATGAATATATTTGTTTTTTGAGACTGGGTCTCACCATGTAGCCCAGCTGGCCTTCACTCACAATTGTTCTACCTCACCCTCCAGAGTGCCAGGATTACAAGTGCACCCCACTTTCTACTTCTGAGTGAAGAGGAAATCTGCAAAATGGATTTAACGAGGCTGGGGAGATTGCTCAGTGGAATAAGCGCTTCCCTGGCAAGCTCAAGGGCCTGAGTTCAATCCCTGGTTCTGCAAAATAAATAAATAAATAAATAAATAAATAAATAAATAAAAATGTTTTTAACTTGGCCTTTATTTGGAGAGGTAGCTAATCTGCTTGAAGTTACAGACCACACCCAATGGGGGCAAAGAGACTAATTTTGGGTGCTGGGGATTCGACTTAGGACCTTCACACAGAGTACATCTCCAGCCCTTTGAGACAGGATCTCACTAAATTGGCCATCCTCCCTTCCTGAGCCTCCCAGAATACTGGAGTTACAGGTATCTACTACCACACCTGGCCTAGAAACAGGTTTGGCTGATATACTAGTCCCATTAGATACACATCTTCCCAGTCCATGGTGGTGATTTTGAGGGATTACTGGATTACAGTTATTTTGTAAATCCATACTCACCACTACATCTGAAATTCTGATACCAAGCCATTGCATTATAAAAAAATATGGTGGTCAGCTTGTCTTCAGCCTCTATGTGACTTAAGAGGATCTGTACATTGTTGCCAGTTGAGTTTCTTCTGGTCATCTGATAACCTTCAGACTTCAAGGAGGGCCGGCCAGATAGCTCAGCAGACTAAAACGCCTGCTTAGGCAGGTGCAGGAACCAGGTTCTATCCCCAGCATGCTAAGCTGGCCCTGCCCCAGGGGCATGCTGAAGCAGCGATTGAGAGTGGGCAGGGTAGCAAGCGCCTGTAATCTAGCGCTTGGGAGGCTGAAAACAGGAGAATCACTATGAGTCCTATCTATGTAGTGAGACCCTATAAATCCTGTACTAAATACATCAAAAAAATAAAAAATAAAAATAAAAACATAAGACTTAAAGGACTGTTTGCTGCCTTAGGGATTTCTGTATATAAGCCAAGTCAGAATGTTCTCTAAATTAAGAACCGTTATTTCAGCAGAAAAAATGCTATTGTTTGGGTGTATCTTGAGCCCCCCCATCCCACTCTCCAAGGATCCATTGACAGAAATGGTCCACAGTAAGGTGCTGCTAGGTGGCAGCAGAACCATGAGGGGCCCACCATAAGGTCCTCAGTCACGGGGACGTGCCCTTGGCAGGTGGTTCTTGTAACTGACACAAAGCTTGAATTTGGTCCCATTCAACTTCCCTGTTTCTGGTTTGAGATGTAATCACCTTGCTTCTGCCACTGCTGCCCACCATATGACCTTGCTGAGAACTGAGCTAACACCACTGTGGATGTTCTCAAACTTCTACAATTATGAGCTAAATAAAAATTTTTTATAAGTGTCCTGTGTTGGATGTTCTGTTAAAGTGACACAAAAGCTGACCAGAATTATTTCTGCCCTAATTCACAGCTTTCATGAGTATCGTGGAAAGTGATTTCATCTATTTGTTCTTACCATCTTCCCATGAAGCAAGAAAGAGCAGAAAAGTCCTAAAGGAATTTTGATTAAGAACCTGTTTTTAACACTGGCCGTGGCAGCATACACCTGCCATTCCAACACTTGGGAGGCTGTGGCAGGAGATCAGCATGAGGTCAAGGCGAGCCTAGGCTACACGGTGAAACCTTCACCCCAAAATCGAAACAAACGAACAAATGATAAACCTAATATCATACACAAGTTAGGATAGAAAATTATAACTTCATGATAAAATATTTACAAAATAAGCATTCCATTTTAAAACAAAAGCATGAAAAGATACTCCATTTTATTTTATTTATTATTGTTAATGTTATTTTTTACAAACAATAGATTTGCTGCAACATGCTCTGGCTCATATTATTGAATTAAAAAATTTAACACATTTCAAAAAATATCAAAAATACACTATAATGAGTCTGAGGACTACGATACGACAATGATTGCACAAAACCAAAGGATATGAGCTCACTGTGTGGATGCTATCCATGGGCAACAGTGAGAGAGAACCTGGTAGCATCTGGGAAAGGTGCTGAGATTTAGAATACAAGGAGTTTATGCTGATTGATCGTCGAATGAGGGAACAGAGCAGGTTTGACTGTAGCTGCATTTCTCAATCTAGAAAGTGCTTCCCCAACCACAGGGGAAAGTCACTAACTGGAGAGAAAGATCAACTTGCCTCCGTGATTGGGGAGTCTGGAAGACTCCACCCAGAAGGAAGTAAAAAGTGACACGAGACAGTTCTATGGTGATGCAGACATCACCAAATGGCTTGGAGACTAATTCTTTAGTAACTGGTACATTTATTGATAACAGCCAAGTGCTCCCTTGTGGAGGTCTCATTAATAATTATTGAATAAATAGAGAAGGTGAGCCTGTGGCTTCCAAGTACCTGCTTTTACTGAAGGTCTACACAGAAAGAGCATCGTGTGATAGTAGATCAGCCAAACCTAACTGGCTCCATCTCCTGGAAAATAGCACTCAATACAAGCAACTGTAATAGCACCCAGTGATTACCAAGCTGCTCTTCTGTATGCCAGGAAAATGAGTTCACCAACTTATTGCACAAGTTCAATCTACAGTAGTATAATAAAGCCCTCGCTGTGTCAGAAGTGGTAATTCAATGACGTGATCACAGTAGCACTGTCGCTTTATGTCATATGACCATACAAATGTTCAGATATACAGCCACGAGTGTGTTCCTTTCCCTGCAGGATTCTTGAACTGCACCCATAATGAGCAGAGTTCCCTCAGGCGCATGGGTTTGCATGCTACAGACCACCTGTGCTCTGCCCACCTGGGGAACACACCCTCTGGGTAAAGTACTGGGAAGATTACCCTCACCTGGAGAAAGCTTACGGGCTTTCACTGGCAGCCTACCCAGATAACAAATCTGTAAATTACCTCGTGAGTGAAGATAGGTATGTGGTATATTTTTGGTAATGGGCTATGGCCTTTTCACCCTGTTTGAGTACAGAGCAACTGTAGAAAGACATGAATGGAAGGAAATTGCAAAAAAATAAGAGTTTTGGTATGGCCTACATTAAAGGTTTTCAATATAACTGAATGGGTCTCAAAAATAACACTATCACATAAAAATACAGTTGGAATTTCAGAGTTCTGCTGACCAAAAAGAAAGCACATTTTTTGGGGTAAACGGTACTTTCTTTCCTTCCTTCCTTTCTTTTTGCAGAACCGGGGATTGAACTCAGGCCCTTGCGCATGCCAGGGAAGCGCTTATTCCACTGAGCCATCTCCCCGGTCCCAAGGATTTTGTTTGTTTGTTTGGTTGGGTTTTTTTGCTCCAAATGCCTTCAGGGCAGGTTTGGCTTGCTGGAGTTGCGGGGATCAAACCACAGCCACCTGAGCCTGACAGCTTTGTGGAAGCAGCCACATAAAGAACTGAGCTAGGGCCGGGCCCCCAGTCCTTTTATTTCTTGAGACAAGATCTCACTAAGTTGCTCAGGCTGGCATTGAACTTCAATCTCCTGCCTCAGCTTCCCATAAAGCTGAGATTACTTGTCTGTGTCACCATGCCCAGCTAGTACACTTATTTTTGCTAAGGTCACTGCAGAACTGAGTTTTGAGGTGGTCCCAATAAGTAGAGTGGGAAACAAATAGAAGAAAGGGGTTCACAGATACAGTACTCTTTTATGATATGCTACTAAAGTAGTATTTTTTCAAAATAACTGATTTTTATACAACATCACTATTCTATAACCCCAAAGGTTTGGCTATCTTGAGTAGGAAGATGTTTTACATCACCTATTACTACAATCTTAGGGTTTTCCTTCATTTTTTTTTTCATTTTCCCATATAAAAATAAGGTGGCAACACACCATTGTTCCCATCTCTTAACAGCACCTAAACTTTGTATAAGCCACCATGTTTTCCACTTCAAATCAAAAACCTGAGTTCTAAAGTTTTTCAGTAGCTGACCAGTAGTTTGACAGAAGTCAAGTGTTCCTGATGATTTGGGGTTCAAGTTCGGATTCTTGGGTTAATTATTAGGCAGCCACTGAAGTGGTGCAAAATTCTTCAAGAGTGTACCTCACACCAGGGAGATGGCTCAGTGGCATAAGCGCCTGCCTGGCAAGCACAAAGTCCTGAGTTCGATCCCTGGAATGGCAAAAATAAAATTAAAAAAATAAGAAAACAATAAAATGATACAAAAGAAAAAAAGTGTACTTCACTGACACACATGAGTATGGGGCCTCTGAAAAAATGGAGACATAATTATTTATGGACAGGTCATCTGATTTTTGACTATTGCTTTGAAACCTCCCAAAACACAAATGAATAAATATATACTTTCCACATTATATTTAATGTTTTGTTTCTAGTGAAACAAAAGAGTTCCATTGTATTTTCCTTTTAATTGTGAAATACTCTAAAATTTCAAAGCACATTTCCCATTTGGGTAAAATCAAGCCATGGTAAAATCTGGTAGAAATTCATTTTTCTAAGTAAATCTTTTAATGGAAAAAAATGACAGAAATATGGAGGAAACTGAATCTTGCTGGGATTATATGGAATGTGAAAAAGTATTATGTTTTTTGTAAGCTTAGAAATTTCTCAATTAAGAGTCTTTCTTATATTGGTATTGAGTACACACTCTGAAACCACACATGGTGGTCAGTAAGTTCAGAAGGGTGAGCTATCAAACATGAAAGAGTGAGCTCCCAGTGAGCCATCTCTGTTCTACAGCTAGAAGAAACAAATTTAACTGGTGAG